GTCTTGCGAGTCGGAGGGAAGATGTCAGGGAGAGGGCTCACAGTTGCAGAGGATTTTGGTAGATGTTCCGCAGTTCTCGCATTGCCCGGGCTCGTGCAATCCCCACTCTTTTCTCTCTGTAGCCAGGACCTCTCGCCGGCGGTTGAGCTCGACGATTCTCTTTTGTGCATAGCCGATCCGTTTCCGCGAATGGTGGTCCTCGGGTGTGGAGATTGCCATTTGAATGAGCTGGTGATAGGCGAGGATTGCTTTATCCACGGAGTCGAGGTGCTCGCGTGACACGCAGAGCGCACTGAGCGCATCGAACGTTTCGGGAGCCTGTGGTCCTCTTACGACCAGGAGATCCTCGAACAAGGTCTCGAAGAGATCAGCGGCGTCTCGGTTCAGTCCTGCATCCATGTACGATCTGCCCAATCGATGGACAACCCGAAGGGCCTCGGGGTCGCGAGAGTTGCGGTATTGGTCGAGTACGTCCACGATTTCCGGGGGAAAGTCAAAGTTTTCGGAGCCTTGAATGTACCGGACAACAGCATCTCTCGTGATAGCACTCGTTACGCCGAAGATTGTCTTGCAATGTGGGATGGTTTTGCCGCATATCATACGAGATTCCTCGACTAGGCCGAGTTTCTGATACAGAAGAGATAACTTGTTCATTGCGTTCAGGGTCGTTTCGTTCTGGAGTCCAAATACCGTGTCGAGAGCAGGAACCGCCCTCTCCAATAAGAGGAGCGCAGATTCTAGGTCACCTAAGGAGACCTTGAGAGATGCGAGATCTTGCATGCTGCTCAGCGTTTCCGGTGCGTGCTGTCCCAAAGTCTTCAACCTGCCTGCGAACGAGCGCTCGTATAGTGCAGCTGCTTCGGTGGCGTATCCGTCCTTATCACAAAGCGCGCCTAGATCGTGTAGAACTGCAAAGTTCGTAGGGTGATCACGTCCAAACGATCGTTTGTATAGCCCCAGAGCCTCCAAGTAGCAGGCTTCCGATTCTACGGGCATGTCCAGATTGCGGTATGCATGTCCCATCGAATGTAAAATGGACGCGCGAGACAATCTCTCGATATCCAGTGCTGGCGCACTGTCCAGAGTCCGCAGTGCGTCATGAAACTCCACAACCGCTGCTTTCGAGTTTCCCTGCTTGAGGGCTGCATCAGCCCGCATACGCGTTATCAGGGCTTTGGAATACACTGTTGAGGCGGAGAGCTCATTCTTCAGCTGAAGAAAGAGCTGAGCTACCTCATCCATCTGAAGCAGTCTTTGACGTCCAGAGGCGTCATGAACCATTGCCCCTCCAGAGAGGTGTTGAATATGAATGAAAATGTTCTGGCTGTTTCTTAACAAAGTCATATACTCGGCTTCGGAAACAGCTGGTTGGCTTCCATCTGGTCTGCGTGGTGTCTTGGCTGTGGTTTGCGTGTCACTTGAGCTTCCTTCGCTTTCTAAGCTTGTATCACTTTGGTTCTTGGGGTCCTTCTGCGTGAAAGAGAGCCTCACGGTATTGACTCTTTTCAGCAATTTTCTCCCTCGGTTCGAGGCAGATTTTGCGCGTGACAGACCTGTTCTCCGTCAGCTCGGGGATGGCCTGCATGATATTCATCAAGCAAACCTTTCGGAATGGTGCGACCAAATATCCTTTGCAGAAAGGATTGCCTTCGAGATGACGACGGTGTCGCCTGAGCTTGATCCTCAACCAGATTTCCCTGCGAATCCACAAACTCGCTTCTGTAATGATCGTTTTCCTCCTCACAAAGGGCCATGCCTGATGCCTTTGAGCCAATGATATGGACATTATTCGGCGCTGGCAATGATTTATCAGCCGTCCACTCTCATGGACTTTTGTGTTTTTATAGAGAAATGGCCGAGCATACTTTCATAGGGACAGTCCCTGTCTGACTGCGTCGCCTGCCGTTCGGCAGTACCTGCGAACTGTTGGAATATACCGTTGGGGGCATGCACTGCATCACACGTTAAACCCGGCGCGTCAAAAACCAGGGTTAGCCTACCTCTCTCCAGGTCATATAGCCCAGCAAAGCTAATCGCGACGAGCTCATCTTCTTCACTTTGCGAAAGTTCTGTCGGGAATTAGACATGTCTCTCATCAGGGGAATCATGGAGCTTACTTCTGAATGACCAGGAATCCCGCAACTTTCTGGCCCTCTGAGCAAACGATTGCTCTCCGGCGGTATTGGTTGCAATGGGGAATTTAGAGCCGGTAAAGCTCATCTGCGCAATGCTGGGGCTTCTGCTGTGTGCTCCATTCGCCCTGTCCTTTTGAATATCTCGGAGACTGATATCGTCTCTGGGGTCATTCAGAACAGGCTCATATCTAAAATCAGTCGTGTAAGACTTGCTGGACGACAAACAAATCAGTATCAGACTGGCACTGACGAGATGTTACACTCTTCCCCGCAGTTTTTGCAACTAATAAATGACGGCACGTCTGTGAGCTTATATGAGAGGATGTTCATAGGCAAGTATGGGTGACCGTCTCACCTCGTTGTCGATCTATTATTTCGTCCTTGTCACCCATGGTAAATTGCTTCTCGCAATGCTCGCAAAAAAAACGGAGAGGACGGGAATTCAGAGGCAAAAACCGCTTTTCCATCCGGTAGCCCTTGGTGATAAGACTATAAAAGACTACTCAGCCTGAATCAACCGTACCCTGAAGCCAAGCATACCGATCTCGCATCATTAAATAGATTGCCACAGCTGCCCCAGGGCAGAATCTCGTCAAGTAGTGTTGTTTCAACTCGCTCCTGCATTGATTGTCAAATTACGCATTGGAGAAGCAGGACAGATCAGTGGCCGTACGGTGAGGAGAAGACAGCATCGCAATCCGGGCATCTTGAGTCTGCCGCACCAAGGGGGGCCCCATCGTCATTTCTGAGAGGCGGGAACAGACGTACAGTTTCCGCAAAACTTTCAACGCCTGGAGAATATTCGACGGGTTCTAAAGTGGCATCGCAATACGTTAGATTTCCCAAGTGACAGATCATACACAGGAGCGGAATTTGACGAACCATTCTCTGTCTTGCCAGCCAACGACAGTAAAACGTCCGACGCTCGAAGAATCCGTGTCCGCGCTCCAAGCCCAGTAGAGGCATTGTGAGAAGAGGTGCTTAGAACGATTTGGTTCTCAAAGTTCCGCTTCGCTTCTGCCTGCAACGGACTGCGACTGTCGATGACATCTCTAGCCATCAAATATAAGTTCTCAGTGGGATATCTTAATCGGAGATCAAATGCAGACCCTGAACATGTTCTTACCGTTCCACAATCGGGCTTGTATAATGACCGTAATCCATAATCAAGCTTCAGATAGAATGAAAAGGGCAAGGGCAAAACAGTCCAAGCAACCCGAATGTCAATGACAGAAATCCACATGCAGTCTGGACGAAGGTCAAAGAAAGAGAGAACCCGCATGGGAATCCATCAATGAGCCGGGTGAGGCATCATTTTCAATAATCGGCAGGTCATGGTCCAGGTGCATATGCCCTGCGGGTCGTCCTGATGAAATCGGTTCTCCATGGGGATGAGAGAGGTAAACGGGCCGCATACTTTCTGGTTTCAAAAGGGAGGAGTTCGCAGCGTCAGTGCTGTTATCCCTCGCATGATCCTAGTGGGACGCTTCCTTGGGATTGGGAAATCGTTTGTTAGCGATGGTAGCCTAGTAGGCTCTGTAGTCTGATGAAAAGGCCAATCAATTGAGAGTCAGAGGGTGGTTGGCGTCTGCAGGGTTTGTTGTCTCGGGCGATGCCGTTGAATGTATGTTGCTGTGGATGTGTGCACTCTACAGAAAGTCGTGTTGAGAGCGTCGCGTTCTTCGTGTCTGTCTCTCTGATCAACAATCAGGGGGGAAGATATCTCCAACAGCCAATCAGAAACACATTCTTTCTGATCCTGATTCCTTTTCTCTCAAAGTAGTTCATCCCTGGCTCTATACAACGATAACCCGATTGCTCCCTTGCGTCGAACTTTCTACAAGCACCTCAATCCCAGGATATGTCTCCTCCGGCCACGCATTTTTTCCTCACCGCATGAACATGCTGCTGCCTGTGGCTCCCTTGGATTGAAAGTTGGCCTATGATTATTGTCCCGCATTCGCAAGATGGATTCGTTTCCCACCTGTCATATTTCGATTTGGACGCAGACGAACTACACAACTCAAACGAAGGCCCAGCAGATGACCCACAATATTAGCATAACCGACTGATCCTGGATAGTCCGCGGCGGACGGATCTACAGAGCTGACTCCAGAAACAATTCGGATCAATTATTGCTGGAGTCCATCTGATAGTCGAGCCGATAGTTCATCGACTTGGGTCTTGGAGATATGACCTATCCTTGATCATCCTCAAGCGCGTCTTCCGCTTCTCCGCCTTTTCCAGCAACGGATAAATCCATTACATGGCCAGTGATCGAGTTCTGTCCGAGAGGGATGATAATTGATGCGACCGTTGTTTGAAGAAGGAAAAGTGTTCATACGGATCTCAGTGGAAAAGAGTCTGAAGGAGGAGAAGAAGCAGAAATAAGGTGAGAACCCAGCCAAAAAGGGGAAAAGCAGCAGGCTAATTTGACAGATACAAAACTTTATCCGCTTCGTCTACTCTAATCAGACTTTATGCGCAAGATGCCGCGGTCTCTATCTCTCAGGGACACTTGGAATGGTCGTCAATCGGCACAATCTCAAAAGCAAACGACTTCTGATTGACTATTGGATCGTTAAAAGCATCAATTCGCCCAAAACAGCCGTTTGCTTCCCTGCTTCTGGGGTGGTGTTGCGTAACTCGCGGAACGATATACAGCCGTCAACAACAACGCCTTCGGCAGCACCAATGCCGATATCAGAGCGATACAGTCGATTTGGAATCGAATTCGTCGGACACTCAAGGCTTGTGAGAATTCCGCCTACAAAAAATCGCTGCAGATCATCGAACTACCCGCATGAGGTGGATTGAGTTCCTTGGTTATAGGACAGAGTCATGACTCGTATACCCTGCAACAGTAGAGCTTGGCTCTCCATGAACGGATACCATCCATTCAACGGGAAGTGATCAAATGAAAAATCATTAAGGCATTCCCGCATGCGAGTTCCGGATTTTCGGCAGCCTGAACTATCGCTGGATGTGTCGAGCTGAGGCCGACAGTGTCAGGGTGACGTTCCGCCAACGTCACCCTTACGTGCATGAACAGCGTTGTACACAATCAAAGAGCATTTATTACTCACGATCGAAGCCAGCAGAGAGATGTTCATGTCAGATCGACGGCACCAAGGGCTTAAACTGGAATCTGAAACTATCTTGAGCATCAATCCCGAGCATCAACATGGCCACAACGATTGCTGGAGGCTTGCACAAAGCGCAGGAGGTGCTTCAAAACACATCCTCTAAAAGCAAGAAATTGGTCGACTTAGAAAGAGATACTGCCGATGTTCAGACCCAGCAGCCACTGACCACTGATCACGGTGTGCGAGTCAGCAACACCGATCAATGGCTTAGGGTTACGAATGACCGCCGGACTGGCCCAACCTTGCTGGAGGACCAGATCGCCAGAGAAAAGGTAAACAAACTGCATGTCAATACCACCAATCAAAGATAGTGTTAACGATACTCGCAGGTCCATCGCTTTGATCATGAACGTATTCCTGAAAGAGTAGTCCATGCCCGTGGCACTGGCGCATTCGGAAACTTCAAGCTTAAGGAGAGCATCGAAGATCTTACTTATGCCGGTATCCTGACGGATACGTCAAGGAACACGCCCGTCTTTGTTCGCTTTTCAACTGTCCAAGGAAGCAGAGGTAGCGCTGATACAGTCCGCGATGTTCGTGGATTCGCTGTCAAGTTCTACACAGATGAAGGCATCTGGGACCTTGTTGGCAATAACATCCCTGTGTTCTTCATTCAAGATGCCGTCAAGTTCCCAGATGTTGGTACGTATTGCTGCTCCTGCTGCTGCTGCCTCTTTTTCAGGTGCAACTCTGACTTTGCTACCAGTCCATGCTGTCAAGCCGGAGCCACACAACGAAGTCCCTCAGGCCCAAACAGCCCACAACAACTTCTGGGACTTTTCGTACATGCACCCGGAATCCACCCACATGTTCATGTGGATTATGTCTGACCGCGCTATCCCCCGATCCTTCCGGATGATGCAGGGATTTGGTGTCAACACTTTTGCTCTCATCAATAAAGAAGGAAAACGACACTTTGTCAAGTTCCACTGGATTCCCCATCTAGGTGTGCACTCTCTCGTCTGGGACGAGAACTTAAAGCTGGCAGGCCAGGATCCCGATTTCCATCGCAAAGACCTGATGGAAGCTATCGACAACAAGGCGTACCCGAAATGGGACTTCGCGATCCAAGTCATTCCAGAGGAAAAGCAGGATGACTTTGAGTTTGACATCTTGGATGCTACCAAGATCTGGCCTGAAGACCTTGTGCCCCTTCGTGTGATCGGAGAGCTCGAGCTGAACCGCAATATCGATGAATTCTTCCCTCAGACCGAGCAGGTCGCATTCTGCACCAGCCATATCGTCCCTGGCATCGACTTCACCGATGATCCACTTCTCCAAGGCCGAAACTTCTCCTACTTCGACACCCAGATCAGCCGCCTGGGCATCAACTGGGAAGAGCTTCCAATCAACCGTCCAGTGTGCCCTGTGCTCAACCACAATCGAGACGGACAGATGCGCCACCGAATCACAAAGGGCACGGTCAACTACTGGCCCAACCGCTTCGAAGCCGTCCCCCCAGCCGGCGTCCAGGGTGGCGGGTTGGGCGGCGGGTTCGCAACCTACCCCCAACGCGTGGAGGGCCTCAAGAACCGCGCCCTGAGCGACAAATTCCGCGAGCACCACAACCAAGCCCAGCTCTTCTACAACTCCATGTCCGAGCACGAAAAGCTCCACATGAAGAAGGCCTTCAGCTTCGAGCTCGACCACTGCGACGACCCCACCGTCTACGAACGCCTCGCCGGCACTCGCCTCGCCGAGATCGACCTCGAACTCGCCAAGAAAGTCGCCGAGATGGTCGGCGCCCCGATCCCAACCAAGGCCCTCAAGCAGAACCACGGCCGCCGCGCCCCGCGCCTCTCCCAGACCGAGTTCCCCGCAAAGACACCCACCATCGCCAGCCGCCGCATCGCCATCATCATCGGCGACGGTTACGACCCCGTCGCCTTTACCGGCATGAAGACCGCCATCAAGGCCGCCAGCGCCCTCCCCTTCATCATCGGCACCAAGCGCTCCGCCATCTTCGCCGACGGCGAGGACAAGACATCATCCAAGGGCGTCATCCCGGAGCACCACTACGACGGCCAGCGCTCGACCATGTTCGACGCAACTTTCATCCCCGGCGGCCCGCACGTCGCAGCCCTGCGCCAGAACGGGCAGATCAAGTACTGGATCTCCGAGACATTCGGCCATCTCAAGGCGCTGGGCGCTACCGGCGAGGCCGTGGATCTCGTCAAGGAGACGCTGGGCGGCACGCTCGATGTCCAGGTGGCTTCGTCGCAGAGCCCGGAGCCCGTCGAGTGGTATGGTGTTGTTACTGCGGGTGGGAAGCAGAAGCCCGAGAGCTTCAAGGAGAGCGTGCAGATTCTCAAGGGGGCGACGGACTTTGTGGGGAAGTTCTTCTACCAGATCTCGCAGCACAAGAACTATAAGCGTGAATTGGACGGTCTGGCATCGACCATTGCTTTTTAGCTCAGCCATGCGGGTATATGAATTAGTTTATGAAATAATTCTACTAGTAGCATTGATTCGATTTCATGGATTTCATATTTAAAAGTGATTGAAAGAGATAACATTGCAAGCTATGTGACAAACAACATTAAGCGAACCGCTTCAAATTTTGGTAACATCTCTATCTGAAAAAGTGATTGTACAGTAAATGTCTTGTAACGTTTGTACAGAATGGGTATCGAACTGACATGCGAAGACAAGTACTAATATGAATAGAAAGAACTGGCAACATACTTCAATCGCTAGAAAATGCAGCAGAAAAGAGATTGACGGCAAAAGCTTCCAAAACGGGGTAGTATCATGACGGGTTCTGGCTCAAAACATGGCGGCGTTGCGCATCCAGACGTTGACACATAAACGTAGATTTGAGCGGCAGACAGCCCCCAATTGACGGGAAAGATGTTCAAGCCCATCTCCAGCCTGAATTGACCGACTCTTGACTGTTGATGACCGATTCAAGGAG